ATTCTGTTAAAAAAAAAAAAAAGTTATCATTATACCATGTTTATCAATAGATAGATAATTGTGATGCTTCTTCCATCTCTGTCCTAAAAGAGCTTCCTGTTTCCTTAAAGGAATTAAATCTAATAATTCTATCACCACCTATAGATAATTTCAAATTAATGACTTCTTTCCTGAGATAAAGTTTATTAAAGATATATGCTGGGTTCTCTGAGAAATAAATGACACACATTTATTTTTTCATGCCAAGCTGTGGATTTTTATAAAAGAGGTTCTAAAAATGGTTTCATTCTAACAAACCATATTGATGCAGTCTTAAAGGACCACCACAGAGTGAGATTCAGTTGTAAAGTTCATGAGAAATTAATAGAGGTGTTCTCCAAATTGCTCTTATGCTTTTTATTGCACTTAAAAATAAAGATTTATGTTTGAAAAGTAGAGAAGAATGGTGACTTCTTATGTAACCATCTGTGCTCTTAGGCAAGGATAAAGACCTTTTAAGAGTTATATTTTTTTTAACAAAGCTAAACATTCTGAAATTAATTTACTAGTGTCTCTCTGTTACCATATATTTGACCTTCTTTACCCATTTCATCTTCCCACATTCCTTTCCCTCTGATTACTACCTTTCTGTTTTATTATGTTTATTAATTTATTACCTTTTTGTTTTATATTCCATATGAATGAAATCATACAGGTTTTGCTCTTTTCCATCTGATTTATTTCACTTAGCATAATATCCTCAACATCCATCCATGTTATCACAGAATGGTAAATTTTTCATCTTCTTTATGACTGAGACTATGTGTGTGCACATCACAGGCACGCACATCCCATATCTTCTTTATTCACTCATTCATTGACTCATTCATTGATGGACAATTAGGTTGTTTCTGTTTTTTGGCTATTGTAAATAATGTTGCAGTGAATATAGGGGAACATATACCTTTTTGAATTAGTGTCCTTAGAAATAGAGAATTGTTTTTCATCTGAATTTATAGCTGCCAAAATGTACGTTGATAATCTCAAGTCTGATATCCATTAACGTTTGAAGGATAAAGAAATTCTGGTATACCTGTACAAAGGAATACTATTCAGCAATATAAAGGATATATAAGTTGGATTTTAAATGCCTATTTCTAGTATCTTCGGGTTGTGTATACATGTGTTAATTTAGATATATTTTTTGGGGGGAGTCTTATTGTCAGGGAACAGATGATGAATGGTGAGAGTGAAATTTCCACTTTCATTAAAAAAAACACATTTAAAATGATATAGCAGTTAGTGGATAAGTTAAGTTCTAAATCTCTTAACATTTCTTTATTGATAATTTTTCTTGATATTCTTGGAATATATTTCTTGGGACTTTTAAATAAAAGGTTTTTGGTGTATGATAAGAAAATAGCAAGTTGCAAAATGATAAAGTGAGCATGAGAAAAATTAATGTACACTATTATGCAAAGTTCACTCAATTTTTTAGAAACCATCTTTAATGAGATAGCATTTACATACAATGAAATTCACCAATTTTAAGTGTATAATTCCATGAGTTTTGACAGATGTATAGTCATGTAACCATACTACAATGAAGGGATAGAATATTTTTGTCACCTCAAAAGTTTCGTCATATCCTTTTTGCTGCCAATCCTTACTCCATTCCTTTGCAACCACAGATCTGTTTCCTGTCACTGTAATTGTCTCATTAAATTTTTATATAAATGAATTCATACAGTGTACTAGTATATAGTCTTCTGTGACTGGCTTATTTAACATAATGCTTATGAGATTCATCAGCATTGTTATAGCAATTGTTTTTTTTAATATATTTTATTGATTTTTTTTACAGAGAGGAAGGGAGAGAGATAGCTAGAAATGTCGATGAGAGAGAACCATCGACCAGCTGCCTCGTACACACCCCCCCACCGGGGATGTGCCCGCAACCAACGTACATGCCCCTGACGGGAATCGAACCTGGGACCTTTCAGTCCACAGACCGATGCTCTACCGCTGAGCCAAACCGGTTTCGGCACAATTGTTTCTTTTTATATGTTTTCTTTATCTTCTTGTCTCGTTTCCTCTACCTTTCAAAATATAGAAGCATTTTAAAAAATGTATTTTTATTTCAGAGAGAGGAAGGGAGAGGGGGAGAGAGGGATAGAAACATCACTGATGAAAGAGAATGATTGATCAGCTGCCTTCTTCATGCCCCCTACTGGGGATTGAACCCACAACCCAGGCATGTGCCCTGACTGGGAATTGAACCCAGGACTTCCTGGTTCATGGGTGGACGCTCAACCAATGAGCCACACCCGCCAGGCTAGGAGCATATTTTAATAGCATTGCTCTTATTATTTCTGGTCTTTTTCTGATGATTGAATTTTCTCCATAGTGGTAGGTCATATTTTCCCATTTCTATGAATGCGTGGATTGTTTTTACTGTATGTCAGATATATTTCCATTATTGGGTGTTGCATTTTGTTATATTCCTTTTGATAATTTTGGATTTTGTTCTTGAAATCAATTGGATCCTTTTGAGACTCACTTTTAAAGTTTGTTAGAGTGAGCCCAGCACAACTTTCAATCACAGACTAATTTAGCTCCATTACTAATGTGATACCTCTGAGGTCTTTCCATGTGGGTGAGTGAAAATAAAAACTATTGCCAATTCATTTGGCTGCATTCTGGTGTATCCTTCCCTGGCCCCTGATGGTTTCTTCTCATACTTATGCTGTCAGCACTCTGCAAGTGGCTCTCAAGGGGCTCTTCCATAGATCCTCCTCATCCTCTCCTGTACACTGCCCAACAAATCCTAGCCTCCTTAGCCTTTCCAACTCCCATCTCTGGTGTCCTCAACTGACAAGACTAGGTTCCCCGCCCTGTGCAACAGATTGGGACCTGCTCTAAGTAGCGTGGGGACAATCCAAAGACTCACCTCCTGTTAACGTTCTCAGTCCACTGCCTGTGGCCCAGTGCCTGGAAACCATTGTTTTATATACTCCATTCAGTTTTCTATTGTTTATAGCAGGAAGATAATCTGGTCACTAGTATGCTATCATGGCCAGAGAATTCTCTTCTTTTAAATAAGAGTAAGCATATATTGCTATTTCTAAAGTACATGGCTCATCATTCCTTAATATACTTAAATATAATACACTTTAATGTCTGTTTTATTATTTTTAAGAGTTGTATCATAATTTTAGTGATGTTCATTAGCATTCATACTAAAATAATCTATGTTTGAGTGTTATATTTCGGTCAACTTGAAATTATTTACACAGGGAATATTAAATTCGGGTTATTTGTTAATTCTCACCCAAGGATATTTTTCTACTGATTTTTAGGAAGAGTAGAAGAGAGAGAGTGAAAGCAGAGAGGAACATAAATGTGGGAGAGACGCATCAACTGATTGCCTCCTGCATGAACCCTGACCAGGGCCTGGGCCAGGGAGAAGCCTGCATGCCCTTGGCTGGAATTGAATCCCAGGACCCTTTGGTCCACAGGCTGATATTATTCACCTCAGCCAAACTGGCTAGGGCAATTTTGGGTTATTTGTAGCAACTATATCTAAAGTAGCTTTCCATCAATGATGGATATAGTAGTAGTCTAATTCTAAGAAAATATATTAATCATCTATATTTATGGTTGATTGATTTATCTTTTGAACTGTGTGATGTTTGTTTGTTTTTTTTAAATTAATTTTCTGGCTTCCTAATACATATGAGAAAATAACTGCAAAACTTTTTCTTATTGGATTTATTGGTATGACATTGGTTAATAAAAGTATATAAGTTTCAGGTGTACAATTCTATAATATATTGTATTGTGTATTCAACACTCCAAGTCAAGTGTCCTTCAAGCATCACCATTTATCTTCCTTCACCCTCTCCAATCTCCCTCAACCTCCTCAGCAAACCTTCTCCTACTTGGGTGTATTCGTAATTAAGACCATCTTTTGAACTCATGGCTTGCTTTCTATTACAGAACAGTTGTTGGGACATCTCTTCATAGATTGAGCTACCATAATGTTAAAAACAGGCCAAACATTTAGTCACTTAGCAATTAGAGAAATGTATGTTTCTACTCATTGGTGTTATAGGGAAGATGGACAAAGTGGGATTAAAAACATGGTTTTATATTATTACTAGAGGCCTCTCATAATCCTGGACCACTTGGGGGATGTCAGAGAGCCAGTTTTGATCCGATCCCCACAGGCCAGGCCAAGGGACCCCACCAGTGCACAAATCCGTGCACCAGGCCTCTAGTATGCATAAAAGATCTTTGATTAATCTCTTCCCACTCTCTCCCCTCCCACCTTCCCTCTGAGATTCATCAGTCTGTTCCATGTTTCGATGCCTGTGGCTTCTACTCCTGCATTGAGCATCTGCCCCATGGTGGTCAGTCATAGCTACCAGTCAGCCAGTCGCATAGGTTTTTATATATGTAAATGGATATGCTGTTGCTGTCTGGTAGGAGTTTTAGGGAAATAGTAACCTAAAATCAAACTCTTAAGAGGAAAATTTGGGTCTCTACATGGCTCTATCTCTGGTCTTATGTGTAAAATTGTTCACAGCACCGTTAGGTGGAATGAATTTTAGTTTAGAGACCTAGATTCTAGTCTCAGCTGTGCCACTTATTACCATGTGACTACCAGCCAATCACCGCCTTTGTGAGAGTCTCCTGATCTATAAAATGAAGATGAAAATAAATATCCTACCTACTGCAAAGGGATGGTAGGCTGTTAAATGGGATGACAATATTTGAGGTGCTAATGTGCGATGGAAATATTAGTTGTTAAACTTTGTGCATTACTATAAAATCTGTTGTCAATACCTAGTATGACAGAATACAAAGCAAAATATATTTATATTTCATACAGCTTGCTGTGCAAAAATATTTTATGTTGGAAAGGAAGAAATAAATTATAGGACTGATAGAATGGAGATGGAGGCAATTGCTATCCTTTTTACTTAGCATTATTTTATTTCTCTTCCATGATTTTCCAGGCAAAGCGTGTATACAGCAATTAGCTGAAAATACCAGGTATTTCAGGAGACGTTTGAAAGAGATGGGCTTCATCATCTATGGGAATGAAGATTCTCCAGTGGTGCCTTTGATGCTTTACATGCCAGCCAAAATCGGGTACGTTTTATTGCACGATACAAACTGGTCTCTCTAGACTTAAAAGTTTCTGTGATGTGAGACTCAGGATTAGGTAATTTCAGGAAAAATTGTCTTGACTTCTTCATGTTAACATGTATTTGCTAGATATGACATTGATTAGTATATTTCAATTTGTAAAATATGTTAATTTGTTAGTCTTTCATGAAACATACATTTGAGTTTAATGCACTTTTCTGTGGGATTGAGATAGATCAGCAAACAAAACACAAAAGTAAAAATCCCTCTCCCGTGGACCTTAAATTCTAGTGGGGCGACAGTCAGGCAAACATAATAAGTAAATTATGTTATATGTGAGACGGTGTTTACAGCAATGGGGAATACAGAGCAGATAAGGGGCATTAAGTGTGTCCTGTGGGCTGGCAGTTTACAGCATTAAATGGGGTGGTCAGGGTGAGCCTCGGTGAGAAGGGAAGATGATATCGGCACTTAAAGGAGCAGAGAGAGTTAGCCAACTGGAGAAAGAAGCTTCTGTGCAAAGACCATAAGGCAGGAACATGCTTAGCCAAGGGAAGAATAGCACGGAGGTGAGTGGAGCTGAAGTGCAGTGCCCATGAGGGCGAATAGTGAGCTATGCGGTCAGGCCATGTTAATTATCAAGAAGTGCAGCTTGCACCAGCTTCTTTGGCTTGTACAGGGTATGTATAATAGGAAGCCTTGTCCTAGAATGGCTTCCAGTGTATGACAAAACCAGAAGACATTTGAAAAGCAAATATGAAATGAACCAATATAATTATTTGCAAAGTAATTACATGCAAAATTGTTCCAGAGACAGAAAATAATTCAGATTTGAGAGTTTTGACTGGTTCTTAAATATAAAATTGGATAAGGTTTAATTGAATTCATTAAAGGAGCAAATATTTTATTCATCTTTGAATCCCCAGTTACCAACCAAAGTCCCTGGCATTCAGAGGCCACTCAGTAATGTTTATTAAGTGAATAGGAAGGAAAATTCAATCAGGAAACCTGGAAATATGGTGATTCCTATGATGATAATGAGGGGGAAATTGGGCAGAGGTGCTCACTGAGGCAAAAAGAGGAGTTCAGGCCGAAACCGGTTTGGCTCAGTGGATAGAGCGTCGGCCTGTGGACCGAAAGGTTCAATTCCAGTCAAGGGCATGTATAATACCTTGGTTGCGGGCACATCCCCAGTAGGGGGTGTGCAAGAGGCAGATGATCAATGTTTCTTTCTCATCGATGTTTCTGGCTCTCTATTCCTCTCTCTTCCTCTCTCTAAAAAATCAATAAAATATATACTTAAAAAAAATGAAACTTAAAAAAAAAAAAAAAGTTTAGTTTTCAACAGGAAGTCATATGGGCAGTTGGCCTTGTGGCCTTCAGAAGCATTGGTGGAAATGAGCCAAGGCAGAGGTTTAGAATTTTCCTCATTCTGGAAATGCAATTATCATGAATAAACTGGAAGAGTTCTTTGGTCTGGAAGACTGACTGATTCTAGAACCCTTTCTTTACAAAGGACTCTGTCTGTTTTGCCTCAGTGAAGCTGACTGTGTACATCATAATTAAGACTTAGAGAGAGTGAAGCAGAATGGGAATAAGTAACTGGACAGTTTGGGAGTATGAGCTGAAGATGCAGGCACTTGAACCCTTGCTCCCACAAAGGAAGTACTTTGAAGACTGTACTGGTACTCAAGGGAGTGGGGACTGGCTGGCGCTAATGTAATTAGTTGCTAATGTAATTAAAATGTGTGGGTTCTTTTTTTTTTTTTTTTTAACACTTTAAACAGCTAAGGGGGAAATTTTAAAAAAAGGATTAAAGTAAGTCAAAAAGAGGCAAAGACAAAGAACATAATTTAGTAAATATAACAGAATTTACATGAGAGAGAATTATGTTATTTAGACAAGGTACAGAAGTGGAGCAAGGTCACAGGCCACCAGGTTGCCTTGAAGTGGGGGGATAATGAGAGCTGGGTACTCACGCAGCTGGAGCCTGGGGATGCGCTGGCCTCACCAACACCAAAGGAAACCCTGAATTCCAGAGGCAGATTGAGGCCCACCTCAGCCAAAGAAATGCCTGCTATTGGGGGGTTAGAGCTACTCGGCCATTCTACCAGCCGAAGTCCACGGTACAGCAGATCCTTTGCGTCCTTAAGAGTCTTTTAAACTGCCAAGCCTAACATTTCAAGAGCCAGGTTTCAAACGCTAGTTCATTTTGAAGCCTCTGAACCACTGTTACAATCTGAGACACTTTAAGGCCAAAACTGCAAATTACTCAGACAAGCCCCATTAAAAATTGGTCTCTGTCAACTATCTTCTTCACCTTTGTGAAGAAAACCATTTGGGAGACAACCACTTTTGGACTGAGTAAAAAAAAGTCTCTGTGAACTGTCCATGTTAACTTGAAGAGGAAATTCCTCATAGAAGTCTCCAGCTCCTGTCACTCAGGAGTTTAACTCATTCAGCCCTGCAGGACCTGTGTACTGTATGCTTTATGACTCTCCCTGCTATCTTTTCCTTGCTTTCCCTTTGTAGCGCCTTTGGACGGGAGATGCTGAAGCGGAACATCGGAGTGGTTGTGGTGGGTTTTCCTGCCACCCCAATTATTGAGTCCAGAGCCAGGTTTTGCCTGTCAGCAGCTCATACCAAAGAAATTCTTGATACTGTAAGTAGAGACTTTAACCTTGGTATAAAATACCTTATACTAAGAGGGCCTGATTATCAGGTGAAATTAATTGTTGATTGTGATGTCCTTTGAGCACATAAGATATTTTACCAGTAAAGTAGAGGAGGGAATATACAATGCTACTTAAAACATTGCTGTTTACCAAAAAAGAACGAACAAAAACCATTAGCATCACCCACCAGACTCTGTGTGATCACTGGGCTCTGGGGAGTTTTCTGGTTTCATCTTGTTCCATGCCCTCCCTTGTTCTAACTATACACTCTATGTTTCTACTCTAAATGATCTTGTATGGTTTTTTGTCTGTACGATTTTTCTCTCTTGAGCCTTATCTTTTCCCTGCTAACTCCTACTCATTCTTCATATCTCCATTTAAAGGAAACTTGCCCAAGGCTATTCCCAAACCCTCCAGCTTAATGTTTCCTTGGAATCTTAATATTTCTCCTTAGGGCCCTAGCCAGTTTGGCTCAGTGGATAGAGCCTCAGCCTGCAGACTGGAGGGCTCCAGATTCAATTCCAGCAAAGGGCATATGTCTGGATTGCTTGCTCAATCCCCTGTAGGGGGCGTGCAAGATACAGCCTATCAGTGATTCTCTCATCATTGATGTTTCTCTACCTCCTTCCTCTCTGAAATCAATAAAGAAATATTTTTTTAAAAGATTTCTTCTTAGCCAAGACCGGTTTGGCTCAGTGGATAGAGTATCAGCCTGCAGACTGAAAGGTCCCGGGTTCGATTCCAGTCAAGGGCATGTACTTTGGTTGCGGGCACATCCCCAGTGGGGGGTGTGCAAGAGGCAGCTGGTCGATGATTCTCTCTCATCGATGTTTCTAACTCTCTGTCCCTCTCTCTTCCTCTCTGTAAAAAAATCAATAAAATATATATTTTTTTAAAAAGATTTCTTATTAGGGAATTATTCACACCTTTCATTGTTTATTAAAATACTCCCCATTAGTTAAGTCTTAAGGATAGGAGCTAAGTATGTTTTGCCATTTTCTATCCCAAGACCTAACACAGTGTCAGGCACATTTATGATAGCATTCAAACATTGCTGAAAGAATATTTAAGTAAATGGAAAGACATCCTGAGTTTGTGGATTGGAAGATTTAATATTGTTAAGATGGCAGGCAGTACAGCAAGATCCATAAATCCAATGCAGAATCCCTATCAAAATCCCAATGGCTTTCTTTGCAGAAAATTTAAAGTGGAACTTAAAATCTTATGGAACTATAGGGTCACCAGATAGCCAAAACAGTATTAAAAAAGAAAATTGATGTTGGAGGACTCAAAGTTCCTGATTTCAAAACTTACTACAAAGCTAGAGTAATTCAAAACAGTGGGATTCTAGCATACAGATATACCTATAGGCCAATGGAATAGCATTGGAGAAATAAACCCAAGCACCTGGCTAATTAATTTTCAACAAGGGAACCAAAGCTAGACAATGGGGAAAGACTAGTCTCTTCAACAGATGGTGCTGGGCAATTGGATAACCACATGCAAAATGATAAAGTCAGAACCTTACAGCAGGGGTGAACTTAGAAAGCATTATGTTAAGTGAAAGAAGCCAGACACCAGACCACATTTACACGAAACATTCTGTATAGGCAAATTCCTAGGGTCATAAAATAGATTGGTACCCCTGGCTAAGTGACTCAGTTTTGAGTGTCATCCCGTACACCCCCCAAAAAATAAAGTTGCAGATTCAATTCCCAGTCAGGGCACATACCTAGGTTGCAGGTTCAATTCCTGACCAGGGCATGTGTGGGAGGCAGCCGAACAGTGTTTCTCTCTCCTCTCTCTCTCTTTTCTCTCTCTCTCTCTTTTCTCTCTCTCTCTCTTCTCTCTCTCTCTCTCTCTCTCTCTCTCTCTCTCTCTCTCTCTCTCTCCCTCCCTCCCTCCCTCCCTCCCTCCCTCCCTCTCCCTCTCCCTCTCCCTCTCTCTCTCTCTCTCTCTCTCTCTCTCTCTCTCTCTCTCTCTCCCCTCCCTCCCTCCCTTCCTTTCCTCTCTCTAAAATTAATAAACATATTGACGATTTTTAAAAATTACTCTTTAAAACTAAGAAAGAAAAGAAAATCGATTGGTAGTTATCAGGGCTAGCGGCGAGGGAGGAATGAAGATTGATTGATAGGAGTATGAGGTTTCTTTTTTGAGGTGATATGCTTTACAATTAGTGATGAAAGTTGTACAAACTATGAATATATTAAAAGCATTGACTTGTACACTTTCAGAAGGTGAATTTGTGGCATGTCAATTGTATCTCATTAAAGTGTTATTTTTAAAAATAAGGGCAGTGCTATTGCCTCAGGAGCCTAACTGTTCTAAAATACTCTTATTAAAGGACCACACTCAACTCTATAATTAACACTTTTTTAACCAAGAACCCATCTTACCCTGTGATCCAGAGGTCTGGTGTAGGCGATTTGTTAACAAATATTGGTCTTTGTAATGGTTCCTTATTTCTAATCTAACCAGGTAACCCCACATAATAGCAGGCAGTTTCTAGTTACAATTTTATCTTTTATGTAAATGAAACTTGCTCATCTGAAATATTTGGTTTGGGACCAGAAGAAATTTTGTTATCTAGATCCCTTTGGGCTGTTGTGGGTTTACTCCTATTTCTATTCATTTTCTTTTTTAAATTGATGAAAAATATTGTTCTTCTGAAGTTTGAATTCATAAATGGCCTTAAGTCGTGTTGTTTTAAATTTAAAAATTCTATATCAAAGGTCAGGAGCAAAAATGGCTCATGGGTTATCCCATCTGAAATTCAACCTTAAATTGTTTCCATATGGAGCTTTCAATTAAGCCTCTTCTCAAAAGCACCACTGTTCTGATAGCCATTGAAATCCAGCTTTTACTTGCTTTTTGTATCTTTCACATTTGGAGCCGGAGTAAATAAGGAATACTATTAGTGGGCTTTTCCTCTCTACAAACACTGATTTTTTAAAAGTTAAACTTAAGAATTGGTAAATGTGTCTTTTTACTAATAATGAACTGATTCCCTCTTCTGAGGTAGATGGTGTACATTTTTACACGTTATAACCATAAGAGTGAGCAGAAGATGTGTAGATGGTATGATGGAATGCAGAGTTACAGGGCTTCTACTGCCCACCTTACTGTTTCTTAATCAAGGAGATGGTGCTGTAGATCGAGCCATTGTCTCTGAAGCCGGGCACATTCACCCCAGGCTTGTTATTAGACGCCCTGGGTAGCATCCACGGGTTTTGGCGGGGGGAGTAACAGGGCTGCAGAGCTACTGTGAATTGAAAACTGCATTCTCTGACCGGTGCCAGGTTCTTTTATTAGAAAATCTTAGAATCTAGGGTTTGAAACATGTTTCCGTCTTCCTTGAATTTTTAAAATAAAGGGCTAATTTTACAGGAAAGAACATTATACTGAGTCAGAGTTATGATGGGAAGATGATATAATCTCCCAAGATTGGGGTTCTGGAGCTCAAATCGAGCTCTGTCCTTTCCCTGCTCCTCCCACTCCTGCAGCACATTCCTCACCCACACCGTCTCTTCCCCACGTTCCCACTTGGTCTTACTGAGTCAGGGCAGCAGTCCACTTTGGGGACTTTCTCCAGTTTGCATCTGGGAGGCATCTCAGCGCAGACTTCTCGTCAGTTTTCTAGAGCATGATACCGGAAAGAGTGAGCACTGAATATAAAAGGAGAGAGAACACATTGTGGCCGGCCTGGCAAGTCCACGGCACATGTTCCTTTTCCTGCCAAGCATAACATGCTGTGATGAATTATACCCTTTATCCTGAATACCTGCTACTCACAACCCATTATTCATAGTCAGCCCCATGTTCTTGCTCAGAAAGCAGCTCTTTGCACAGCTGCTCTGTGGTCCGGCCCGAATAAATGCAATGGATGCAGACATTCCCACCAAAGGATGGGAAGCACTGGCCACGCCTGCAACGTCTGGCTCTGACCACCTCTGCTCTGTCTTACGTTTCAGGCTCTCAAAGAGATAGATGAAGTTGGGGACCTACTACAGCTGAAGTATTCCCGTCACCGGTTGGTGCCGCTGCTGGACAGGCCCTTTGATGAGACCACATATGAAGAAACAGAAGACTGAGCCTTTTTGGTGCTCCCTTATGGAAACTCTCCCTCACCCGGGACAGCGTGTGGCCTTTCTGAGCCAGTTCCAGGAACCACACTTCTGTGGCCATCTCACGTGAAAGACATTTTTTCAACTACTGACGGTGGCCACCTCCACTCCAAATGGCATTTTGTAAATAGGAAAAAACTGCTCCACGTCTTCCTTTGCTGCATTTCACCTTTTTAAAAGGTGACTCACTTTGCTTTTTTGTCCATTAAAAAATGTTTTATTTTATAACTATCCTATTTGTGAAATCACGCAGACCCTAGCCTGTCTCTGCTAACCACACAGGCTTTTGCCCTCTCCCAGCTGCCTCACAGCTTTGGGCCCATCCAGAGCTGCCAGCCTGGCATCACAGCCTCGAGACTCACCTGGCCCCCAACCCCCTCCCTCGGGAGCAAGTGCCTTCCACTTACTTCCACTCCAGATCCCGGAGGTTGCCAACCTGGGAATCCTTATTCAACCAGTCAAGTAATCAACCAAAGTGTTCTGCTTTTAGTCTTACGTTTAGCCTTTTAAGAAAAACAGAAAATGTTAGCACTGCTGAAATTCTCCCTCGTTGCGTAACCCCCTGGTCAAGAGCCTCCCAAGGCGTGGTCTTGTTCCATTTACTGGAATGGAACAAGGATGTCTTCATTCACCATCAAATAGTTCTCCATGATGGTCACTCTCTGGGGGTCTGTCCAATTTCTGGATTCTTCTCAAACTCTAACTTAACGCCCCCGCCCTTCCGAGGTGAAGCTGATTCACACTTCACAATTCTGTGTTCAAAGCTGCTCTGTGGAGTGATGTGCAGTCCTGCTGGGTGAGGGGCAGGGGCAGCTGGAAGAATTAATTACTGTTTGCAGAACCACACTGACTGTGGTTTGCTCCTTAATGCCATCTGCTTTTCAAAATTATGATGGCCTCCGCCAGGGTCTGGGTCCAGGTTAGGATTTAAACTGATGAAGGGAAATGTTGGTAAATCCTCTGCTCAGAAATCATTTGTCATGTTCCTGTAAGGATTAAAGTTATTAACCTGTCCTTTTTAGAAGTTGGCCCATTTAAATACCACTCTTCTGAGTGCTGGTTCTCTCTATTCTTGATGTCTGAGACAATTCTAACCTGACATCAAGGGTTTAGTCTCCCTTGCCTTCCATTACCTTCTCTTCTTTTAAAGAAATCCTGAACACATATCTCTCTTGACTCTGTTTTCATATCAGGTAAGGGGACTTCTTTCAGAGAGTTTTATGCTGCTTGACCAAAGAACGCATCCGAAAATCACCTTGTTAAAGTTCTTTTTTTCTTTTTTTTCTGTTAACCAAAGCTTCAGTAAAAAGAACTTTTGACTCTATTCTGCCCAAGATCAGCTTGTCTTTTAGTAGCCTTCAGGTATAATAGGGAAAGATTGAGCACCAAATGGAAAAGAATCATGTGAAAGTATTTTTGCACGTCTCTCATTGTGAAACCACTCCTTTTATTGGTAAGAATTCTCAGTCCAGATTCTCTCGGGCATCTTATCATGAGCTGTGGTATGTTTGTGCTAATATGTGTAGTGGAGAATATATGCATTATTATTGTTTGTGAAATTTTGTTTTCATGTCTCAAATTGTCTTTGGTCACTCTCAGCATCTGAGAGCCTTAAGCCCTTGAAATGTTCCAAGGTTTTATTTTACTTTTTTAAACAATAGCAGGGGGTGAATAAAAGAACCATGTGGATATGCGGGGACTATACTTAGCATGTACAAGCTGCAGTAAGAAAGAAATTGTGGTGACCAAGTAACTCGTCCTGTAAAATAAAGTGCATTGCTACCCTTTCCTGCACATCTAGTGTCTCACCCTAGAACCCCGTAGAGTACCCGATGGCTTTTGCACTACAGTTACTATATAGTGGTGTAGGGTTTGCATAAGTCACAAACTAAGCAATGAACTTATCTGCTAGTCTTTATTTTGGCTTGCATGAAGACAGTGCAATATAAAATATCAGTACGGGCATTTTAAAAATATATATCACTTTGCTGGCATAAAATTATTTCAGTATAAAAGTAGTTAAATTACAAGTTTCTTTTGAAGAAACAAAAGTCCTATGAGCTATTCAGGACCTCTGCTTTCCAGAGGACAAAACATTATACATGCTGGTTGTCTCTTCTTGAAACTGTAATATAAATCTAGGATCCAGTCATATAGCAAGTATCATTCTTGAACCAAGCCCTTGGGGAAATACAAGTGTATATAAATACAGTCTTTGAGAACAAGTCGAAATCTGGGACATGTAAGTGTTACTTAGTACATAGTTTAACAGGGCCAGATTCGAGAATCTGGTGGGATTCAAACAGGCATCAGCTAACCATGACTACCAAAGCTGATCATCTGAGTTAATCAATGCAGGTGGGACTCAGCCTTATCACATTTCCCCATCTCTCTATTTAGCATTCTTGATCCATTTCCGGCTTAGGAGACTTTCCTGCAGATTACATCAAAACCCAGTAAATCTATAAAGAGGGGACATCAAAATTACACACAAAGAATGGAGCAGATAACAGATCATCCTCCCACCTTTGCCCTAGAATGTGGTGTACATTCTAAAGCAAGGAACTATGGGAAATGCTCAGGGGCTTGAAGCACTTCTTCAACTTTTTGCTTTGCTTTGGAAAATTTATTCTCTTTTTAAAACATCCTACTCTCCAGAACCTCAAAGTCTCTATATTAAACTTTGATGATAGGCTGAGGATTTCAGATGGTCAAAACATGCTCCTTCCTCATGTAGTCTCGTAAGGTGGACAGAATATCCTTCATAACTACTGAGGACTGTGTGTGCCTAGTGCTCTTTCAGAGGCCAAGGAATGGTTTTCTTCCCATGGTTTGTCTCTATACTCCCTCCCTCCTGTATTTGGCTTTTCTTTCTTTCTGTTCTTGATTTTTAGAATTCCACAGACAGTGAAGAAAAAGAATTTGGGGGATTCTTGTTTTATTGGATTTCATAGGGATGTGGCAAAACCTGTCACCTGGTTCTCTTGTGCAAAGAATTGCTGTGTCCTAACTCCCAGGGTGCCTTCTGGTGTTCTGGGTACACCAAAATGGATTATAATCTCTACCTGCTAAAACCCGTGTGGTTGGGCAGTGGGGAGAGTAGTGGTTTTCCTTCTGTCTACCTTCATGAAGATCCAGAACTGGTGCATTTCACACGGGTAAAATCAGCATAGCCCAAAGGGATTATGAAGGTTATAAAAGTCAAAAGGTTCTTCTAGCTGTTGAGCAGCTGTTTGCTTAAATGCAGTCCCAGAACCTATAGATGTGCTGCTACCTGTTTATCATGGAAGCTCAGTGCCCAGCAGGCATCTTGATCCACTAAGCCAGTTAATCAGAACACTTCCATGTGGCGGAATGCATGTCCATTCTCCTCAGCTTTATCCTCATGAAATGTATGTCCAGGCTCCTAGTCAATTGCTGTGTGCCCAGATAGCCAAGTTAGAAGGCTGGCTTTCTGCTTCTCATACTGAAGAGATGCTGGGACGAGCCAGTAACCCACTTGCTTTCAGTTGTATGGAAAATGCTCTTGCCCCTTTTGTTGTTTCCAGTGACCTGTATTCCAAGCGTCTTTTGCTATGGAGTGAGAGCCTTTTCTAGGGAGGAAACCAAAGGGATTAGCTGGAGCCCCTATTGAAAATGTTTATTCCAGTCTTCTGTGGTGAGTCCGCAGGTATCACATTCCCAGGGAGTGGCTTGGTTGGGGAGCTGTGCATAGTACACATGAAAAAATGGCCTTAAACTGTGATTCTTTGTGGTATGATGAGATATAATAAACTGACCCTAAAGAATGCAATGGCTCTTAAACTGCAGTTACTGTGTTTTTAATGAAGCAATACCCAAAGGTCTGTTCTTTTGGAGCAGTGGTGGGGAGGTTACATGAAAGGTAAAACAAGAGCAGTACTTTGATGGGCTAAGTGTCCCGTCTTGCTGCCATCTGCATGGATAAGTGGATCCTTCCATATACGTGGAGCCTTAAGCCAAGTCACAGGCTGCTTTTTCCAACACAGTTCCCAAGCTTCTTGTGCAAAAGCTTGGTCCCTTGGTTCCAAGGGTGTGTGGGACATGTCACGGACTAGGGTGGAATGGTAACTTGTCTGCACCCTAAACATTAGGTCTTCTGTGATGTTAAACCAATGGTTGGAATGACAAGAGTCATCCTGGATGGTTCTTCATAGGAAACTGGTGAAATCATGCTCACAGTCTCGATGATCCCTCTCTGTACAAAAGTAGCTAGCATTAAGAGAAGGGGAAAGAGAAAATAAGAATAGAAAAATAGCTTATGGGGAGCTGAGATCTTACTTTGTTGGCCCATATTTTCCACTGACCAATTTGCCTGTAACCTGGAATTTGCAAGAGGTGCTGTCATAACCCCTCTCCATTGCTGCAATGCTCATATAATCTGACAAAAGGAGAGAAGGGGAAATTCAATAAAAATGTAAGTGATGTTCAAATGTCCCTCTTTCTTTCTCCCTTACCCCGTCTCCCTTTTTTGCCACATGGTTTTATTTTATTTTATTTTATTTTACTTTGTTGAGTGACTGGAAAGCTATAAAAAGTGGATTGGGGTGGGTGTATAAGCTTTAAGGGTGCATGCTAATAACTTAAGGGTATCAGAGGGGAGGGGAGTTGCAGGGCTGAGTGAAAAAAGGTGAAGGGATTAAGCAAAAAACTCAAAAACACAGATAGTGTAGGGATTACCAGAGGGAAAGGCAGAAGCGGGTAAAGGGAATAAATGGTGAGGGAAGGAGACTGACTTTGGGTGGTGAACACAATACAATATACAGGTGGTGAATTACATAACTGTACACTTGAAACCTACATAATTTTATTAACCAATGTCGCCCCAATAAATTCAATAATTTTAAAAACTGAAGGGGAACTACTTGAGATAACTTCAGCAGTCGCCAACCTGTGGTCCGTGAGGTCCAAAAGGTTGGCAACCGCTGCTTAAGGGTCATCTCACAGAAATATTGGTTTGCCCCAATAAAATATTCAGAAAGCTACATCTGCCTTTATTCATCAACCAGTAAACGCTGAGTGCTGTTTGCATGCCAGGCCCTGCACTGAGCAGTACCAATAACAGCAGCCAACAACTAGATATGGTTCCTACTTTCTAGTAAACAAATAAGCACGTAAACATAATGTCTTTTTACTAACTGCTAAGTACCATGAAGGAAAAGTAAAGAACACGGTAAAAGACTGTCACCAGGGTCTGGTTTAGACAG